CTCTCTCTCTCTCTCTCTCCCTCTCTCTCTTGTGTGTGTGGGTGAGTGTTTTGTCAGTATATGATAGTATATGTTTTAATCACATATGCTTAAATCATACGCCGTATAGTCACCCTCCATCACGCCCCGAAAAAATGCAATTTTTTTTTGAAAACGCTTACGGATGCTTACGGCATGGGTTGGTGTATTGTTTTTATTTGTCATGCAATTAGCAGTAGGGTAAATATAGCGTAGAATTATGCAAGGCAATTAATGAACGAATAAAAAAATATAGTGAATCTATTTTCCCACGTCCCACCCCTACAGAATAATAGGTACCCTTCGAAACGCCTACAAAAAGGTTGCCGTTCTTTCCTTCTTTCTTGCTTCACGCGCGTTTAAGGGTCTAGCTCCAGATTGCGTATAGTAATGTCAAAATATTTGCGAGCTGCGAGCGTTTATTTTTGTTCTGTTCCTTCATCATGCGCTCACCAAGTGACAGGCCCACGTTGAAATAACTACAATATGGTTTTGTGTAATCTTATTTCCGGTACCAGTAGGCTGAATACATGTCAGGAAAAGTAAAAAGTAATAGAATAAACATGTGAGTCAAAAATAGTACTTTGTATTTCCACGTCCTACACAATATAAGGTTTCTTTCCAAACACTTACTAGGTGGGTTGGCGTTGTGTTTTTTTTTCCCTTTTCCCAGGGTGCAATTTAGAACCTGAGACTGTTCAAATTTAATTCGGTTTTTGACACCTACCAAAATGCCTAAAAACTTCCTTACTAACAGGCATCATTGATGCATTCTGTGAGTTTATAGCCTCCTTAAATTTTCCTTGATTGGTTTGTGTTTTCCTTGGTTTTTTTCTTTTTGTGTTTCCCTTGGAAACGAAACAAAACCAAAAAAAACAAAAGAAACCAAAGGAAAACCAATAATCCACCAAACCAAACCCTAAACCAGAGGAAACCAAAGGAAACCGAAGGAAACCAAAGAAAAACTATAGAATCTACCAGCCCCAAACCAAAGAAAATCTAAGGAAATCAAAGGAAACCAAAGGAAAACTATAGAATCTACCAGCCCCAGGAAACCGAAGGAAACCGAAGGAAACCGAAGGAAACCGAAGGAAACCGAAAGCAAATCAAAGGACACCCTGCCGTGAAGAATGCGTGTTCCAGTGATGTTACCAAAGAGTTCCTGTGAAAATGTGACGCGCACACACACACACAGCAACAACAGCAACAACAACAGCAACAACAACAACAACGACGACGACGACGACAACAACGACAACGTGAAAATTTGATAATTCGTTTCCTCATGGTTTTGAGACGGAAGAAAATGTTGCGATCCCTTGTGTGGTTTTGTTTCCTGCAGCTTGGGTTCTTGATGCATTTTGGGTTCGCCATAAAACGGATTTGCATCGGTTTTTGGATTTGTTAAGATGCCGACGGCCCATCAAAACCAATGGTTTGTGTGCAAATTGGGTCCTAGATACTGAAAATTATTTTGATGAAAAAAATCAACGCCCTGTCTGATTTTTCTTTTGAAAAAACTTGTCCAAAGTAGACGATTCAGGCTTAACATTTTGTCGAGAAAAACTCGAGCCCACTGGCTGGTTCCAACCCCACCAACCTAATTCGATCGGCGATTTTTACCCAGCATCGATAAAGCAAACAATCAAATCGATTGCGGCTATGCGGCTTTTCTTCCCCTACAGAGTGTCGCCCACCAACCAGCGTATAAAATTTGCGGAAGACATTTTTCCGTATTTTTTTTTGGAAGATAGGAATCCCTTTTGTTGCCCAGGGGACAGTATTTGATCAGATTGTGGGATGACACAAGGCCAAGGTGTGGGGACCGTGGGAAGAACCCGTTGTGACCTTCCATTTTTTTTAAATTCCAATAGTAACAAATTGATCAGTTTGAGGGACTTGCCTATTATAACAGTCAAATGTTTATCCGTGTTTTTACCCAGTGTTTTTTCATTGCGTAAACGGATTCCCCCACATGTTTTAAATTTTATGTAATTTTTGTCCGCTTTACTTGCTAACATGCTACTATGCTGCCGGTCAGTAGTCCAAAATCCAGCCGGTGACATGAAAATGTCCTAGCTGCAGTAAACAGATTCATAAAATCGGCTTACAGGGGATGCATGTCGCAATGTCATTACTCTAATGTTGGCCCTGGGCTAATCACCCCCACCCCGCATCGATAAAACAATCAATCAATTCAATTGCCCTGACTATGTCGTTTTTCCTTCCTCTAGAGGGTGTCATAGGGTTTCTCTCCCCAACGGCTTTGTGAAATTCGCAGAAAACAAATATAATTTACCACACCCTTGGAATATGAATCCGTTTTGTTCTCGGTTGTAGCAAGAAAATCACTGGTAAATGAACGTTTTAATGAAACATATTTTTGTAAATAAACTTTTTGGTTGAACAAATTGAGAAACCTTTGCAAATGAACGTTTTAGTCGGAAAAAAACTTGTAAATCGAAACTCGCGGGAAAATCTCTGGCAAAAAAAAAAGTGACAATTCTAATTCCGACCAATTACGCTGGCCAATTGGATGGAATGGGATCACTCGTATTTGAGAACCTGCCGCTAGTAACACTACTTATTTTGAACATCAGTGGTGCCTGGATGCATATCGGACCCTGATCTGTCGAACCGACATGATCCAAGAATCCGATACGCAATAAAGAATTTACAGTGATAGACGTCCAGTAAGCAGACTTCCCGCCTAGCCAGTAATAAGACGATTCTTCTTCGGGGGTTTCACAGTAACCGGCACTGAAATGTATTTCTTCAAACCTGGTGGTTGGGTACTGTAAAGGTAGCTTTCCTACCCCGTGTCTTCAAGAAATGATAGGTTCTCTTTGGAAACACGGTGCCAATCCAAGGACATGTTTAATTTTCCTTTTTCCTGCCACGTCCGGGAAAAAAGAGATATTGCTTCCGCTTCCTTTCTCTTTATTTTTTTGGTTTTTGCATTTATTTATTTTTGAAACATTGTTTCGTCTCTTCTTCCCTTTTTTATTTTCTCATTCCTCTCTTCCTCTCTTCCTTTCCTCTTCCTTTCCGCTTGCTTTCCTCAACAGTTCCTTTTCCTTCTTTTTTCCTCTTCGTTTCCTTTTCCGTCTCTTCTTTTCTTCATTTTTTGTAAAGGATTTGCTCCTCCGTTTTCAAAAGTGCAAAACAATGTGGTGTTTTAGGTCCCTCCATTTTTTTTTAAATTAATCGAGGTCCGTTCGTCGAAATATCTTTGCCTTGGGACTCGTATTGATTCTTGACGAGCGCAGGTGACAGGGCAAAGATGGTCAAAGTATTATTATAATATTTTTTAAAATTATTATTGCTATTATTATTATTATGTCCTTTTCCGTGGGGTTTCCACCTTAAAGTGAAGGGGTATTGGTTATGATTCTGCCTGCAACGTTTCCTGCGGGCACGTTGAGGTGAATTTGAAAATCCGGCACGCCGGGGCGCACAAACTCAATTCATACCAATTCACTGTGTCGATGCGGATTGAAAAGGCACCTGCTGGGGAACAACTTCAACTGGAAGGTTCGGTTATACAAAATGAACACGTTGGGCTGTGTCACAATTACAATTATTACATTTTGTTGTGACCTCTTTTCTTTCCACGAAAGACGTGAAACAAACGCGTGATAATTACGGTGGATGACTTGTGAGGTAGCTGCGTCAAATATGACAACTCATACCACGGCAATTATTTGCAAGGGCTCTGGGAGGCCCCTGTCCATGGATGGGATGGGCATGGCTCTGCTGGTGTTTTCTGTCGTCCTTTGTAGCTGCACGCTGCACCATGCTGGATGTCCCCCACAAATCCACAAAATTCGTTCTTCGGCCCCCCCGGTTTTATCCGTTGTGTGTCTGACTCGGACAGTTTGAGATGATGGAAAAGAGTCATGGATGCTGGACAGCACCCGCATTCACCGATTCGGTGCATGAATGATGTCGTTGGTAGCAAGCAAGAACGGAATCCAAGAAAGAACTGTCTCATGAAAAAGAAGGGCAAACAGCATTAAACACACACGCATTTGTCGACAAGGCGTGTTTGCAACGCATTGCCTTGCTAGTGCTCTTGACGCTAGTGCGGGCCCCTGCTGATTGCTTGGCCATGATTGTCCGGATTGGTGCACGTCAAATTTGAACGAGTTCAAGGGGTTTTGGGGCTCAAGACTGCTCAAGGCTGCATTGAAGTCGAAAGGGCCATGACGAGCTTAGATCAGAGACTGCCTGCCTTATCTTTAGTCGAAATCCTAGCCTGCTTGCCAGTGGCCTCGCAACCGCGGATGAAGTCCACCTCCCGAGTTTTTAAAGACATCATGGAGTCCGAGCGCTGTGTTCAGACCAGGCGTTCTCATCCCATTGAGGTGGTGGTTGTGAAACCAAAAACTGGGAAGGGCTTGGCTAAGGTGGCCAGCCGTTTGGTGGATGCTTTTATGAAATCGGATTCTGAATCGACATTGCCGTTGGTCGAGTCCATTCGAGTTGAATGGGAGAAGGCTGAGTTCTACAAATTCCTCCAGCTGCGCGTGGGTGGAGAGCAGGCCCCGCCGCGCCCGTTCGAGCAAGATCTTTACATCAATGGTTTGGATCCCAAAGGGGCAGGGCGTTTGCGCAAAGCTTGGTGGGCATCGGTGCGCAGTGTTCTGGATGGTTTGCCGATCCCACTATCCGCACGGGTCTTGTTGTTGGGAGAGCGGCGTCTAGGAGGACGCGAGGTTGAAAACGGGAGCTTGGTATTTTATCCCCATCCTGTCTGTCGACCCACCTGTTTTCTTCGAAGTTTCTCTGGACAAAAAACAACCCAAAAGGATCCAAAAGGTTTCTGGACAGCTTAGTGCTTAGGGTGGCAATAAGACAACAAATTCACAGCCAATCTGAAAATGGGTCAGTTGCTGAAGTTGGCAGGAAGAAGCTCATATTCTTGGGCCATGGCGCTGGTCTGGACCGGACAAGACTATGGTGTCCTCAAATGCCACCTGGATGCCGCCTATTTGGATTGCACCATGATCTGTAGTGGTGGCATCAAAGAGCAGTATGTAAAGGCGGCATTGGGGGTGTTGCTCCGAAAATCTCAGAGGATGAAGACTTTCAACGAGTTTCCATCGCCGTGATTTCAGCATTGCTTTTGGTATTTTTCATCCGTTTTCAGGTTTATTTGCTTCCACTTCACTATGAAATAGTGCCTGCAGCTTCTGAGTTTCATGTGCTTCATTTTTTTTGCACTGGCAACTTTTGCACCGCCAGGTTTGCCGAAGCATTTGAGAGTGCCCTAAATGACATGATGGAACACAAGAAGTGGGAGGAGGATTGGAGCTACCCGCCCATGGGCGAAGGTGATGACGATGAGGATGATCTTGACACCTTTTACGAAGAGGAAACCATGGAGAGTTATTTCCAGGCATTTGAGAAGCCAGATTTGGGCACATGGTGCTTTGGGAAGTGACCCACTTCCGAATGAACCCTTGCAATTCCAGTAGTTTAGGACCGTTGCTGCTCCAGCAACTGCAGTGGGATGCCTTCAAAGATGAGGTTCCTGGGGGGAAAGGGCCAAGGACATTTCACTGCCGCACAGTTTAAAAAAGTGCCCGGTGTGCCGCATGGTGTGCCTCCAAAACATTTGCGGGCCTGAAACCTTTGAGAGGTTGGAACCCAAAAATCGCTATAGCCAAGGCACTTTTGAGCCCAAGATGGCAATAACGTGAACGAGCACACAATTCAAGCTTCAATGTTGGATTTCAATTTTAGCTTTGCACCATTTGCAGCTGGCCGTGGTTGAGAATGGCGGTGATTGCTGGCCAACGATGGCTTGGAATTCTGAACATATTCCACATGTATCACATGTTGTTTGCTTGAAGCGTTTGACACGTGTGAGTAGCCAACTGCATGCTTGCAACATTGGGATTAAAAATTTCTACTTGAGAAACGTGAGCGCGGCAGTGATCCAAAAACATGAATTCTCCTACATGAAATTGGCTCAATTTGTTGGGTGGCAACGATCCACGTTTCAAAACGCCAGTTTCCGATATTAAGAGCACATTTGAGCTCGCCCGTTTCCAATTCGCATCATGTCACGTCATATGATAATTCAAATTGGCAGAGCAAACGTATGACGTGTGCCCGAATAATATCAACGGATGAATTTGAGGAACAACTGCACGAAACCATGGTTCCTCCCGTCAATTGTACTGGTTTCCATTGGTTTCCTATAGTTTTTTTTTCCATCCAATTCTTGGATAAACTGCTCCACCTTGCCGTCCCCGGTGCCATGGCGTGATGCCTCGCATCCCTAAAGCCGCCGGCCGCGCTGCCAACGCTGCTGCGACGCGGCTGCGGCTGGGGAAGCCGCTGCCAGAGGCCCCGGAGGTGGTGCACCTGCAACGGCGGCGCTACGAGCCCGTGACGTCGGATCTGCCACCGGCCACGTGGCGCAACGTCGCTTGGCAGAGGCTGATATCAACGTAGCCGAACGTAGCCGGAGAAACCCAGGGACTGAGCATGGCGGAAGCAGGGTTATGCCCCCGAGATTTGGAGATGATATGCCTGATATGCCATATATGATATATATATATATATATGTGTATAGTATATATGTTAATCGCTATATCAGATGCAGTTTGCAGATGTATGCAGGTAGGTAATGAACAAGTATATACGAGGATCATGTGCCAAGGAAAAAACAGAGCAACCGAGCAACCTCTTTCATGGATTTCTCCATGGTTTTCCCTGAGTTTTGAGGTCCCAACTCTCCCAATCTCCAACATTGCTGAGGCGTCTGATTGGGTCGACCTCGAACTTTTGCGAGCAGGGCTTCCAGCTCAGGCGTTCCTCACATCACCACACAATGGACCCCAAATACATTTTTTTTCGTATTTTGCACCTTTTGTGTCCCAGCAGCGCCTTTGAAAAACAGCAAAATACAGCAAACACCTCCAATTTGCCTATAGTTATCCAGGTCCAACATGGTCCAACCTTAATAAAAGAACCATCCAAGCGAGTCAGCTGCGGCACGTCACGGCAGGCACGTGGGTCCGGTCGCACTCGTGGCACTCGCATCCCATCAGATTGGGGCAACGACGATCTTCAGCTCCTTGGATTCCGGATGTCCCGTTCCAGCGCAGGGCAGTGATAAACCTCCCATTGAACTGGGTAAATTATAACGACCTCACTGCGACCTCACTGGAAATCATGGTTAGTACGGGGAATTATCCCCAAATGGTCTTAATTCAGGTTAGTGAAATATTATAATTTGCCCAGAGGAAGAACCATCAAATTGGTGATTTTGGGGGATGGTAAAATCTACTGGGTTGAGCACATGAATGTCGTAAACTGCAGGTTCAATCCAAGTTTTGATCGAATGTGGTTCAATGGGTTCAAATGGTGAAGTTACACCACAAAAACATGGGCCTCAACCAATCATTAGGAATAAATTGAAACTATCATAGGGTGTAACGATTGACATTAATGTTCCAAACCCAAAAGCAGATCATCCCCAATATCACCAGCAATGGATGTTATACATGCTCCAAACTTGGAGTTGTATCATCGTTTTTATCACATTGTTTATTACTCATTATGCAGTCATCCCATCCCCCCCTTATTGAGTTCCTGTGAGTTTTCTCCCGAGATGATTAGATCATATCTAAATCAGTGTTTCGTTGGGGAAGCTATGAGAGCTGTCATTTTGTTGTTGTTGGGATCGCTCATTCTTGGAAAGAAACTTTACCCAACAGCAGGCAAATATGTTGTCAGTACTTTTGTCAGATTCCCTTCGATAGTTGGCTAGATAGCTATAAAGATCAACAATTGTGAAATCTGTCAGTTTAGTTTTCATATAATTATGCATAATTTATACCCTCAGCATTGTATTCAATTACCAGGTAGCATCCATATTATGGAGTGCTGCAAAATCCCATTCAAAGTTTAAGTCTTTTTTCATTACTTGGGGGCACCATTTTGCCAGTGAATCCCGTGCTTGCCGCCATTTTCTTCAATTATGTCTGGGGGTTAGGGTATTGCTTTCCCATGCGCAACTTGTTCAGGCCCGAGCCAAGTGCCCAGCACTCAGGGCAGGGAGGGCTATCTGAGACTGTGACATAGTGACAGTGATCAAACATGCCATTGCCACCGTCTTGGTGGTCCACGGTTGTTGTGATCCTCAGGGTTTCTGACGTAGCTGGGCAGTTGGGTACATCTTGCGGTGAAGGTATTTGCTGTGAGCAGTTGCTGGGGAAAAAGGCACGGGTCAAATGACTAAGCATCATTATCACACACACACATATATAATATTTTATGTGTTGTCGTCACTAGACCAGCAGAACAAGGAACACAAAGATGTTATCATTTACCCGATGAACTTCCGCTGGAATCATTGGGGAATTGTCTCCAAGGCGGCACCCGCATATTTTCTCATGGCAAAAACCCTCCAAACTATGCCAAAGGTAAACTGAGAACGGCGCAGTAGAACCTATGTCCTACCATTAAGATGAAGTGACACTGAATTGTTTTTCCGTATATAAAATATGGGAGTTTTCACCTCACTTCCTACAAACTGGGTCAGATGAACTGCTTTAGAAACTGGGTGAAGCTGGCAGTCGGTTGAGGTTGATTGGTATCTAGCAAGGGGCCCCCCCGACCCATGTAACTTGACCATGGCACATACGCTGCCGAGGTCCTATGGCCCAACTCCGCCTTGGATGATCATCGCTCCAGGGCTTTCGTGCTGCCAAGTCACTTGCAAGGCGGCTTCGACGGGTTGAGCGAAGTTGTGTGCCAGAAACATCCTTCCCCCCCTCTCTCTCTCTCTATATATATATATGCTGTACTACTTTTTTGTTTGGCTACCCTGTGTTCTTGATCGTTTCCCAATCTTTTTCATGGCCACATGAAGTCACATACTCATTCATGGTAACAGTGGTAACACTGACAGGAGTATTTTCACTGGTCATTTGCAATCATCGACCCACCATGATTAACCCCATGTGACGATCTCCTCAACTTTCTTGTGCAGGTGCAGAGGAGGAGAGTCAGAAAAACCCTGCTGAAGACGAGAAGGTGGAGAAGGAATTGCAGGAAAAGAGGAAGGAATTGCAGGAAAAGAGGAACCAATTGGAGGAGAACAAAAGGAGGTGGGGCATAAATGGGAGGCAAACTATGGTTGTAAAGGGACAACACATGACAACACCACCACCCTCCGGTCAAAAGAACCAAAGTCAAAACGGTTGGTTCTTGCTCAATAGGAGTCAGAAACACAGTCGTCATGTCGCGTGCGGTTTCTTCACCTCTGGGATGCTGAAAGCGTTTCTGTTCTCAAAATAGTTCATGAATTGTTTAATATTTTTAGCATTATTTAAAATATTATTATTAACATTATTAGCAATATATAATACTAATAGTAATGATAATAATAATGATAATAATAATAATAACACCAATAATGATAACAATTAATAATAATCATAATGCCAATAGTAATAATAATAATAATAAAGAGGTCCCCCCCATCCGAAGCAGCACAAATTCCCGGAAATGTCCATGGCTTAGTACCATTTCCTTCTACAAGGCTTGAAGCCTTGTGGGCCATGAGTCCGAAACTCAGAGCTGGAAGCTGTGCCAAACAGGCCCAAAAAAATGGTTGATCCACTCTTTGAAACTTTAAATGCCACCCAAAATTATTGGAAAAAACACAGCCGAAACAAAATCCTGGTGGAACGTATTGGCATCTATTGATTTTTGGCCCAACATCGGATGTGTGTACAGATGTATACATCGTGTGAACATGTTTCACGTTCTTTTCTCTTTCTCCCGTCTTGTTGGTGGCAAACTCCCAGTCCGACAGTTGCATGGGCTGGCGTGGTCCTTCACCCAAGGCAACTCTCATGGTATCAGCTGGGATGAGCTTGACACGGCCTTCGCCAGGGGCACTCAGCGGGATGGAGGAATTTTTTCCAAAGTTGATGGGCCGCCTAATATCCAGGACCCCCTAGAGACCATGGTTAATGGTTCTATAGGGGATTTACTAACACATATATTTGGACCATTTAGGGGGTGTTTTTTATGAGGCGGATGCCTGCCGAGTTTCTGCCCTTCGTGGCTGGTAGTCAGTGACACATGGGTCACCTGCCTGGCCATGGGAAACAACAGAGGGGTTGCCAAACCAATTCTGGGCGTACAATTGTTCATCTTTGGTGGCTAAGCCGTGAAGCACCTCATTTTTCTGCATGAAACACCGTGAAGCTGATGCAAATTCCCTGAGTCACCTGCAAAAGGTGGCGTTCGCCAAAGAGGGGCAGCGGCGCTACGCTCATTGGTGGGGATCCAGCAGTGATCCAGCAATGCCGGGGGTGTTTTAACCAACAACACATGGGAGGACCAGCCGCAAAAAATGGGCATAGAACCAATCAACCTTGGGTTATATAAGTTATACCCTCCACTGACAGTGAGTATGGGATAAGATTGATGCAGCCAAGATGGACACGTGAGGATCCTGGTGACTTGGTATCCGCTGCAAAGATGATCCAAAAGCGACCAGTTTTGGTTGGCGCGGGCCTTCGTTGGGTCTTATCATTGCTGTTTTCTTCCAATTTTGATCCCGGAAATCGATGGTTGAACTGAAATGTCTGATGGTTAATCTCCAATTTTTTGTGGGGTGATGATCTAAGCATGTTGATTTGGAACGGGTCGAGGTTTCAAAACATACCAGATTTTTGTCATGGATGGTTTAATACGAACCATGACAAGCATTGTGGGTCCATTAGGCCATTGGGCCCACATGTTTGGCCCAGATCCAAACAAGGCCTTTAGCTTGGGGATTGTAAAGCACTGAACATATCTAAACTCTAAACATTATATATACCTTTGGATCTGTTTGGGGGGTTTCATTGATACCCCACTTCGGACCTGTATCAGGCGCCAATTTTTCACCGCTCCTGGGAGCCGGGCTTAGGTCCCAGGCTGCCAAAACAGAGGAGGCAGAGGCAGATGACCAGCAGAAACAGGACTGCGCCCTCTATATGCTGCTGAAGCTATTTTCTCGTTACTTGTTCGTTGAATTTGATTATTTGGGCAAACTTTGATGAACAGAGGGCTGATGTCTTTTTAAACCAAACATCAATAACATTGTATGTTGGTGAATGGTGTATCGTTTTGACACTTTCACCAATCACCAATCGTCTTCTCGCCTGAGACGAGCTCGGTTTCAGGACTCGGCGAAGCCGTTGCCGCCCACACGTGAGGAGCCCACTGCGGCACTGATGAAACGCTACTGTGAGGTGCCAGGGCCGGAACCCGGGAGTGTTCCCAGTTGGATGTTGCAACTGAAAAACCACTCAAGTGGCACAAGTGGGATTTCATGATACCCTCTGGTAACATACAAAAAACTATGGAAAATCACCATTTTCAATGGGTAAATCCACTATAAATGGGCATTTTCAATAGCTATGTTAAATTACCAGTGGGTATTTCATGTATCTTAATGTGGTTTCATGAAGAACCATGGGATCCAAGCATCGGGTTACTCTTGGTGTTACAGTACCCATCCAACCAAGCAGATCCAGCGATGATATCACTATAGCCGTGTCACTAGCAGTCACTAGCACCATTTGAAAACTGCCAATCGCCGAGGAATTTGCACCTCCAGCTTTGAAATCCCTGGGTGCACGGTTGGATTCTCTTGGAACATCCAAATTGTGTTGCGTCTCATCGTTCGGCCTTTCGCATGTTTGATGTGACCCATACTTATACGATCTTGTACGCAGAACATCGTAGAACAGTCTTTTCCACATTGTTCATCGACAAGTTTCAGCAAAGCGCGTGCACAACGATTGCGAGACTGATCTTTTCTGAATATCGGCATGAGTGTTTTGAGAACCCGTTAATCAGCATTGGTGTTTTCTGAATATCAGCCATTGGTGTTTCTGTAAACAAATCGAAAAAAGAAAGAAAACGGATTCTGATTCCGATGGCCTTGGCACGGTCTTGAGTTGTCTATTGATGATTCTCGGGTGAAGATGGTGAAGCTTCGGTTCCTGGCTGAGCTTCAAACTTCCCTGGTGGAGCTGTAACGCCCGAACCAACGTGGAACCTGAAAACTGGTGCTCTTGAGTACTGAACTTCATCCTTGTGAACTCAAGTTTTCGCATCATATTGATTATATTTGGGGGTTCATGGGTAATATAGAATATCAACATATCATATATGGCAGTTCGCAGCGGCACACCACATCCGCCATTTTGGTGGGAACTTCTGCCCATACCTTTACCTGGTATCATTCCGTGACCAACTTTTTGCCAGGCGAGGGCGAGAGCATTTCTTCAACCTTTCTGTTTGGACCTCGGTGGATAGACCTTGGTGCCGTGGATGGGCCCTGGAACATCGCAGACCCAATTTCAGAAGCCCCAACTGCGGATGTTTGAACGTTTCATGAACGTTTTCCATATTTCCATCACAATAAACAACCATATGAAGTAAATAAATCAATATTAAATAAATGAACATATAAATTATATTAGGGGCAGATGACATAGGGTCGGATAAGTGCAAAAACGACCGCTCACAAGGCACATGACATAGGACTCAAAGATACCCTTTTGACAAAAGGGCAGATGACTTGGACAAGTTCTTGACTTCGGAGGTTCACTAATTTTTGCTATTGGAAATATCCCAGGTGCAGATGACTTGGGACTTACAAACAACCAAAGAGCACATGTTCCCTCTTTTTCTTGCTCCATTTGCGTTCGTCCTTCACTAGTCTCTGGTTTGTGCTGAGCACTACTGCCCAATCAACGGCGTCCCATCCGTGGAAAGACCATGAAAACATTGTTGTTTGATGTCACCTAGCGCACACAACATACCCGCATTCCAAAATGAACCCTCTTAAGGTCCACTAAAAACACTAGTTTCCGGCAGATGACATGGAACCTAGATTTACACCAGGGTATGTTCCCACAAACCCAAGTCATTTGCCGGTTGTATACTAGTTTTTTTTTTTAAAAAATAAATGCACGCACACACACACATGGTTTTCCGTGGGTTTTCAATGGGTTTTCCATGCGCCCCAAGGTCCGAAGGACGAGACGACGGGACGACGGCTGGATCCGCGGCAGCTGTGGCGCTCCCAGCTGGGCCGCTTGTCGTCGCGCTTGTACCGCAAGGCACTGTGGGCAGGTCCCTTGCGGTCACAGCAGATATGGATAGATAATAGATTTTAATTATTTTAATAGTATATCATCTATGGATAATAAAAAGATACTTACCAATCCCATATTGGAAATCATATTGAGGACGGTAGTATCCATACACACACATATGTATGTATGTATGTATGTAATGTAATGTAATGTAATGTAATGTAACGTAACGTAACGTAACGTAACGTAATGTAATGTAATGTAATGTAATGTTATGTATGTATGTATATATATATGCGCACATGTATAACATTATACTGATACATGATTAGGCAATAACAAAATCGTATCTAGATCTGGATGAATTATAATGACATCTCTGTGATGTCACAGGTAGGATGATTAGTAAGGGAAGCATCCCCCAATGGCCGTATAAAAGCAGCTATTTTCAGGTTGGTGAACCATGATATTTCAGCCAGATTGATATAGATGACAGATCATAGATGATAGATCATAGATGATAGATCATAGATGATAGATCATAGATGATAGATCATAGAATGCGATAAACCATGGGTTTTTGGGGTCACTAAATGTTCAGGAACTAGGGCTGCTAGGGCTTCCGTGCTGTCCATGATGTTCGTATATGCGCATAGAACTGCATAGCACATGTCATCCGCAGGAAGAATACTTTTCCACATCGGTAGGCCAACTAGCAACCAGGTAGATTTCCCCTATTTTGATTGCTTTAACCGTAACCAGATTAAGCATGTTTGAATGGTGCTTAATCCTCCAGCTGGGTACCCTTCTGCATGCAGTGGTTGAAACACCAAATTGACCAAATTGATTTCGGGATGGCTCAGAATGCTCAAAATGATCGACCCCTTCAGATCTGGTGTACGAAAGTGAATACACCATGCCAGTAACAAATTAGTAACAAACCCTTTGGGGTTCATTTCACATTCCCCGGGGTATACCCGTTTCAGCTTTCTTGGGGACGGTTTATGGCATTGGTTTTAGTTCATTGCAATTTTTATGTTAATCATTTGTTGTCTGTATTTTCCATAGATGTTGCATCGGTGTCCCAGTCTAGCAATTCGATGGACATGTATTTCTAGATTTCCAGGGTGTCATAGATGATGTTTTCCCATATTTTCCAGGTGTCCAACCTTTCTATCTTTTTGGGGGTTGCTACTTATCCAAATCTGCGTGCTTCCCAGGAGAAGAAGAAGTTCTTGGCGCCCTGGGCACCCGGAAAGCCCCATGATTGGAAAGGGTGTGGAGGTTTGGGTCAACCTCTGGTTGAGTCCTGGTTGCTGGTGGTTTCGAAAGAGGCTTTGGCTGAAAAAATGGGGAAGCTAGATCAGATTAGATGCTTAGATTATATTAACTGGTTGGTGGTTTGGAACATTTTATTTTTCCATATCTTGGGAATAAGCATCCCAACTGACTAATATTTTTCCATAGGGGTTGATACCATCAACCAGTTAATATTAGATCCATCAAGTTCTCTGGTCGATCATCGACCCCAGGATTTGATGGCAATGTAAGGGCGGACACCCCGTGTTTAGACAGAGATGTCACACAACTGGACGACCTCAGCTATCAACCTTTTGAGGCTAACCCAGATTCCAAAAAACCTGGAAGAAGATTCGTTGAGCTTATCCCAGGTTTTATTGAACACAGATCCGAAACTTCAGTAATCCATAGTTTTTTCCCATCCATTCCCCTAATGTTAAAACATGTTAAAACCATCCCTTTTTGCTCTGGTTTGGTATTGAATCTCTTCAGCAACTGGTGGCTAAATCTGGGGGATGGGCTGATGGGCCCGAGGCTGACGGCCAAACTGCAGCAACTGGTGGCAGCGCGAATGCAACTGGAACTCAGATTTTCGCTTTCCCAGTAGCTTTACCCTCTGGTGAACTAACATAGCTATAGAAAATCACCATTTTTAATGGGAAAACTCACTATTTCTATGGCCATTTTCCATTGCTATGTTAGTTCACCAGAGGGTATATGATATGGTTTAGTGGTGAGATAAGGCCAGTACATGATATCATGGTGTAAGCTCCATGCAAATTTAGCTCCAATATGGTTTATATAATGGATTTTAGTTAATTAATGATGAGATTCAACCACCAAACATGGACTGGAAGCAACCATTGAGAAAAACTGGATAATACAGGATATAACTACCAATATGACATGGTTGTCTGGCAAATTTTAGCATCACGGGCCGACCTCACCCAAACTATACTTCTTCAGGTTTGTGAGTTCTGGTCATCTGCCCAGAATATTTTAGTTCGGGGATTTCTCAATGTTTGATTACCAGTTGGTTGGTTCTACATTCCGAATTGAATCCCTTTAAATCCCTATGAACCCATGAAATCAACATTAAATCCCAGTATAAATCCCCTATGAAGTCCCATGAAACCGCCATTTCGAATAATGTGCGGGAAAGAATTTCATACACCATCCCCCAGTCATCACAATTTTATAGGTGGTATAAACCATTCACAAATGGGTATGGATCAATACCTATTAATACCATTTTTAGGGGGATGAACATCAATCATTTACCAGCTATTTTGATGTTCACCAGGGGTACAAGGTTTTGACACACTGCCAAATGGTTTTTTTTTTTTGTTTTACCCACATTAGTTCACTCCGTCCTGCATGCAGTGGCCGCTAGGATCCGCCGAGAGACGAAGGAACGCCTCTATGGCTTGGGAGGTCGTCCAACAGGGACCGAATTTTTGCGCCCGTTTACCACACAGATGATGGACTTTACCACCAACACGGATGATTTTGCCAACATATTAAATGGTAATTTTACGAACAAACATGGTGAGTTTACCATATTTTACCAACAAACATGGTGAGTTCACCATATTTTACCAACAAACATGGTGAGTTCACCATATTTTACCAACAAACATGGTGCTTCTACCAAAATGCTGATTCAACCATGAACAATGGTGAATGAAGCGGAAACAATGATGATTTCACCGATTCAACCAAGAAAATTATGTGGAATTTACCATGACAAATTGGGAGTTCACCAAGAACAATGATTGTATAATGGGAATGTCATAGGGATATGTAACAGGTGGGGGCCTCCTTGGTTAACGTTTGGGTTTATCCAGGGATATAACTAGACTTGTACAATGGTGTTTACAAAGCAACTTAGAACTGGGAGCCTCACCCGGTATGTATGTAAGTATATATATATTATAATATAATACAGTATGTATATAGAATATAATATATATAATAGTAATAATATATATACATATATAATATAGAATATAAAGTATATAATCCGTATATATAGCATATATATATACTATGTATATATATAGCATTATATATAGTATTATATATATAGCATTATATATAGTATTATATATATAGTATTGTATATATAGTATTATATATAGAGTATTATAAATATAGTATATAGTATATATATAGTGTATATGTATAGTATATATATAGTATATATAATTATAGCATATATATATATATATAGTATATATATATATCATGTGTACATAAGTATATATATATATTATGTGTGTAATATATATATATATATATTTGTATGGAAACCACCTGCAAACGAGGTAAACATGGGAATACATTATGGTTACTGTAATGTGATAAATGATATATCAATGATAATTTGATGGGTATATATATATGTATATAATACATATATGATAGTTGATAATCCACGGGTATGGGTATTTGAAATGATGATGCCCGTTGCTAAACGAACAGTTTGCTATGGTTAGATATGTATCCATGGCCATTTGAGCGATGATTATTGAAGATACTGACTTTCCATAAGAAAATTGTAACACCTTACCAGAGGGTATTTCTTTTTTTGACTTGTCCAAAATTGCCCCGATAGGCGCAGCACCAGAGAAGGATTGACTCAAATGACTTGATCCCATGAGGAAAAAATGGCTGCACCTGCTGATTTCAAGGCATGGTTGACCTCTAGATCTTAGATCAGTGGAAGTTATAGGAACCCTCCAATCATGGGACCCCAATTCCCATACCACTCCGATACTACTCCCATATGAAACCCCTATATATATAATATATATAGTATGGCAAGAATCGGGAGGATTATGGGAATGGGGGTCTCATCACTGCCAGTCAGCTGGGAGGGGCGCCAACCAGCTCCAGCTACTGGATCTGCTTGGCAAATTCATAGCAATGTCCAAGGGAATTCAAGTGGTTTCTCATACTTTCCCCAATGAAGTTTCCAAGTTTCCGAATTTTTGCACTAACATGACTGACCCATATGGATCCCATATTATGGCTGTGTTGCCGTTTTCCTTTAGATATTGCCAGATATGAAACTGGGGAACCCCAAAATCTCACAGTGAATCATCTCATATTTTCCATTTACAAATTTAATTAGTCAAAGTATAAAAATGGTGGGTTTATAGACATCCCATGGTATCCCCCATTTTGATCCATACTGAGACTCGCCATACCGTTGCCATTTGGTTCACAGGACGTGTCAATCAATCCGTGCCATTTGGTTCTCATCGGTTCCTGGGCAAGCTGATGTCAGAGCGGCTGAGGCGAGCTGCGGAATGCCCAGTGAAGCCCTCAAAACTTCACCGGAAACCCTCATGGGAACCATGTCATTTCCAGGAAGAAGCATCTTCCAAAATTACTGCTCTTTTGGGTTCCATTTTGTTGAACAATTGTAATTCCCAACAGCGAATCTGTTGGGTTTCAATCTCTGGGGCCGGGGACTGGTGACACGAAAATGCACGCCCAGAAAAACCGGAACAGTCCTGGAACCTTGCTGGAACCTTTCGCTGTTGGGTTGCAAAGCTGGGCTAATTGTTGTGTGTTATTGATAGATCAGTAGTTCCGGAAAGTCTTCGTTTCTTGTCAAATAATGATAACAATTGTAGACCTTAGATACAATATTAGATGATTACATCTCCCTATTGTAGCAATTACTACCTGCATATTATTGTATCTAGTTAATTGCCCAACGGCAATAAGAACTATGGCTTATCAGATTATTATCATAATTCTTGATTACAACATATCTAGCATGTCAACTCTAATCTAATTGCTCTAATTATGTCGAGTTATTGCCTAACTAATAAAACCAACAAGAACAACAACAAAAATACCAAGAATAATATCACCAAGAATATCAAACAAAACTAACTATAAACCTATAAACATTGATATTTTCAAAAAATCTAATCACCATAACCCTTCTTTTTACGCTTTTTGAGCCTCAACTCCCCAGGGATCGACACGAAGCGTCCATGGATGCCGATCTGGACCTGCAGACGGAGAAGTCCGCGGAACGCTTGCTGAAAGCATCTGCAGGCAGAGCAGTGGCGCTGGGATTTTCTCCATGTGCTAAGTCCATGTGAAATCTATGTAATCCATGTGTATATATATATATATGACATACATATATATATATATCCCATATATTGACCCAAAATTGGAGGGAGAACACTTGATGCAGCACTGATCCAGCGCCTTTTTCATCCTTTTTCCACATTTTGAAACAGTGTCACCAGGTCACCTTGCCATCCGCAGGTGCCTTCAGCAGCACGGAGGAAGCCAGGCAGTGCTGGAACAGCTTGGAGCAGGCCGAGCTCAGGAAGAGCCGCCTGCAGGCCGAGCTGCGGTCCCTTCAGTCGCAGCAGCGGCAGCATCAAACCCGTGCCACGGCTGCAACCGGGCGCACCGTGAGGGGAAAAATTGTGGTTTTACCATAAGTAGATGTGTAAGTTTAGAGAACGGTTAAGTGGCTTCAAACTGCTAAGTTTGCAGGTGGTTTATAACTCCCTTTCTATAGATCTATAATATCCGTGACTCCTAGTGGGGCCCTGACTAAAAGGATCTCCAGGAAAGGGAGACATCTCTTATCCCAGAGTTGGGTTTTCCCATGAACGGTGCATATTCGGCCCAAATCCCAAGATGTCTTGTTCAACTAATTAGTAATTTCCTGAAGTGTCCTTCAGCAAATCGGAAATTCAGTGTTCACGAAGCCTCTTTTTTTGGTCCATGCAGATGGAGTTTCCCGCATAGAATGAGGAGCTTCCGACACGCCCAGAATTGGCTTCTGGGAAAACTTGCAGGAATACATATCCCCACGACAACCCAATTGAATATTCATTTTTGTCCGCGAAGTCCCCGTTTTTCATGCTTATAAATCCAATTAGACCCCATTAAAACCAATAAACCCCCTTAAACCCCATTAAACTGAATTAAATCCCAATAATCCCACTAGATCCCCATCACAACATCATTATCTTTCCATGTTTGTTGCTCAAGCCGCAAGCCCCCATCTGCCGCCCATCTGCCACCAGTTCCCACGGCAGGTATCCATGCCTTTGTCAAAGAGGAACAGCGCGAGAAGGCGCTGACGGAGCGGCTGCTGCAGCTGCAGCATGCGGAAATGCAGCTGGGTCTTCCGCACATCGACATCGACCACCGAAGTGGCATTTGTTCCCTGGGCGATCGGAGAAAATGAGATTTTTTCATGTGCCATAAATGGGGAATTTAACCAAGAACAAATGATGGATGGAATGATGGGATAGAATGGTTGATGTCATCGGGGGTATGAAAACAAGCATTTATTGGGGGTGTAATGGGAATACTAAAGGTTATATTGAATGGAATAACCGAATAGGGTTTTAAGCAAACATAAATGAACATACTGGTAGCGAGAAATTGTTTCAAACCAATTGATTGTTCCCTGATGGTAGGTTTGGCAATCCCCAAATTGGCTTATTTCATCGTATTTCATCTTATTTTCTCTGTGGGAACTAGCCCAGACAACATATAGGGAATACCCTCTGGTAAACTAACGTAACTATGGAAAATCACCATTTTTTTTGGGTAAATCCACTATAAATGTCCATTTTCAATAGCTATGTCAGCCGTTACCAGAGGGTAGATCTTTCAGAACTTTCCGCCGCGTGCGACGGCTCGCAGGTTACCTGGGAGATCCGCCTGCCACTGGCGAAGTCCCCCAGAGAGATGGCGATGGCGAGACGGAGGCACTTCGCTCCATCAAGGTGGAGTTTGATGAGGAGCTGACCCGATGATAGCGCCATAGTTGGATCATCTTGGAGGATGGTAGGATTTTTTTATTGAAGCCCCCTGTTGTTCCGCAAAAGATGCAGTAGAGTTGAATCATGTTGAATCAACATGACACGAAAAAGAACACCTCAATTCCATGGATTACCCTGCATTTTCCCATATTTTCCCTATTGAAATAGCACTTTCTTTCCAGGAAGGAACTCTTCTCCATGCGGAGCCGCATCCCTCGCTGGGCCTAGAGCGGCTTGGCTGGGCCAGGGAGTTGTAGCGGCTATATGGGATAATATGGGATATATATACCCTCTGGTTATGACTAACATAGCCATGGTATAGGTGGCCCATTTATAGATGGTTTACCTTACCTCTTAAAAATAACCAGATGGTATATATAACCAGATGGTATATATATGGGATATGTACATGGCATATATATATTTTTCACATGGGATGATACGTGCGCCCAAGTGAACAAGTGGAGTTCTTTTTTGGGGGCACTGCTAGAGAATTTCCGACAGGTTTCAATCCAGGATGCATGTTTTTTGAATGGCTCTCGATTGGATGGTGGCCCCAAGGCAATTCCAATAGCAGTACATACAAACCTGGGGCATTCCTTAGCTGTTGGTCTCTGCTCAATTGGGCAATCCTTGCAGATTGTTGATTTCCGCACTTTTCCGCTATATATGTTTGCTATGTCTTCTATTTATTCCTATGCAAGTTACCCCGTGAAATTCTCAAAATTTGAGGGCCCCCGATGATGGGACCCCCATTCTCATAAGCTTCCCAGAAGCTTCCACCAATGCACTTTCCATAGGGACTTTGCCTCCCAGGAATTGTGCAGCACAAGCCGTTGCACAGCAGGAGCCGTCGGGTGTTCGCTGGGGCCAGCCCAGGTGGTTCCAAGGTGGTGTTTTGCAGGACCTCAACCCTACTACTTGGGTGGACATACATTACATACAATCTTGGTATATCTCTGTATAGGTCTATATCTATCAATCTATCAATCAATCAATCCATCAATCTATCTATTTTTCTTATCCTATCTATCTATCTTATCCATCTTATCTATATAATCTTATCTTATCTTATCTCAATCTAATCTAATCAAATCTAGCCTTATCTTATCTTTAGTTTCATCTTATCTTATCCTATCTTATCTTGTCTTATCTGATCCTATCTGTCTATCTATCTATCTATCTATCTATCTAATCTAATTTAATCTAATCTTATCCTATCCTGTCCTATCTTATCCTATCCTATCCTATCTATCTATCCATCAATCAATCAATCTATCTTTCTTTCTTATCCTACCTATCTATCTATCAATCTATCTATCTATCTTTCTTATCCTATCTATCTGTCTTATCCTATCATTCTATCAATCAATCAATCAATCTATCTATCTATCTTTCTTATCCAATCTGTCTCTTTTATCCTATCTATCTATCTATCTTTCTATCTTTCTTTCTTTCTTTCTGTTTGTCTTTCTTTCTTTCTTTCTTTCTTTCTTGCTTTCCTTCGTTCTTTCTTTCTTTCTTTCTTACTTATCCTATCTATCTATCTATCTATCAATCAGTCAGTCAATCAATCAATCAATCAATCAATCAATCAATGTATCTATCTATCATTATCTATCTATCTATCTATCTATCTACCTATCTATCTATCTATCTATCTGTCTATCTGTCTATCTGTCTATCTGTCTATCTGTCTATCTGTCTATCTGTCTATCTGTCTATCTGTCTTATCCTATCTATCTATCTATCTATCTGTCTATCTGTCTATCTGTCTATCTGTCTATCTGTCTATCTGTCTTATCCTATCTATCTATCTATCTATCTATTTATCTATCTATCTGTCTTATCCTATCTATCTATCTATCTGTCTGTCTGTCTATCTGTCTATCTGTCTATTAGACTCTATCTGTCTTATCCTATCTATCTATCTATCTATCTACCTACCTACCTACCTATCTATCTATCTATCTAATTATACTAATACTGGTACGTATTTCAACATATGTGCGTTCAGAAAGGTCATTCACATACCAGTGAATACTGACATATTCCACGGAAGAAAATAGAGACCTCGAAAGGACTTCGCCATTCTGCCGACGATGGTGTGGAATCATCTCTGCGACGCTGGCAAGATCGGGTCCAGCCCAGAGGACGGGGTGAGTGTCACTGCTGCATCCCTAGAATTTTCTGGATGGAATCCCCAAAATCAGCTGGAAAGAGTACGAGGTCAAAAAAAAAGTTGGGCGACCACAAACTGAACCTGTGATGGACAATTTCGCTCCTCCCACAAAACCGACTATCATTTGATGTCCAAGTGATCTGATCTTTCCGACACAGGACGCATTGAGCCCCTTGCAGCCCATGCAGGGCGCTCGGGGAGGTGCCTGAAGCGTAGTGCGGTGAAGCGACCAATTCAGATTAATTCAAGGCCAAGGTACGGTGGATGCTGGTGGAATATTGATGTTAGCGCATGTCATGGCTCAATACTTCGCATTCTTTTGGATGATGTAGTTCAAAACGCAATCAAAAAAACATGGCCCACCAAATGGGACATTTTTTGTCTCAATGCATTTTTGAATGGGGTCAACTATTTTCGGCCAAGTTCATTTGGTCAGTTGAGCCACCCACTTGGCGAAATTCATGGCCCTTGCAACTTCGTGCAACTCCGACTCTTTCTGAAAAAAAGGCTTGGCTAAGGATAAAACCATCCCTTATCATTTGAAACACTTAAGCTTTGCTAAGTCTACTAGGTATCCGATGTTTTTCTGGGAATGTCTTTGGCATGTCTGTCAGTTTGGAGCGATCGCTTTCGTGGATCCAAGCGGTTTGCTGCTTCGACCTGCCGCAGACATATCTAGCTTGATGGAAACTCCTTAGACTCATGCTGATCATGCAGTCTCAGACCATGGAAAATAGTTCATTTTCTCCCGCCACCAGCTCATTTTGATCCAGATCAACATTGATAAACATAACATGTGGTGCACTCGCCGGCCTGGGCGCCTCTCCAGCGTCCTATATGGCTGATGAGGTGCGGCCTGACCATAGGAACATGACGATTGAAAATACCAGAGGGAACATATGGACACATCATTTTTCTCAATTCAAACGGCATTTTTTGGAGATACTGAGGTGCCCACAACTTAAGTGGACAAATCCAGTTGGGTGTTTCAATCAGAAAATGGGGGCCAATACTTCTCCAATTGTTGTACTTGCTAGTTAGTCACTCATCTCAAATCTTTCAGTTTCCATGTGATTGTCATGCTATGTCATGCTAAAGCAGCGAATTCCGCATGGTTGTTTCTTCTGTGTTGGTTGCGTCTTGTTGCCAGTAAGTATCTTTGGCATTTTTTTGCTGTTTTCTTTGGATTCAGATTGGTAGATATCTATATAGTGAATCTAGTTTTAATACTGGAAATATCCTATGTTTCCCCAATTTTCCCGACTTGTGTCCTCATGTTTGTGGCTTCATGGCCCCACCCCCCAGGGTTCGAGAAGTTTGCTGTACCCTCCCGACGGTAGTGAAGCGGCCCCCGTTGGGTGTTTAGTCTTGGGCTGGAAAAATCACAGCTGGGAATCTCAATCTATGCCTTCAAATTGATATAGAATAAATTGGAATACTACATAAAGAAATGCATAGAGTCATAGAGCCAAAAGACACATACACACCTATAATCAATCACCTATATGGAGGTTTCCTAAGTCATGGGGGGTACACGTAGTCATCATCCATTTATAGATCGATTAAATGGGGGGTACCCCCAAATCATCCATTTTGATAGGATTTTCCATTATAAACCAACCATTTTGGGGATCCCCCATTTCTGGAAACCACCATTCCAAGTCATCACCTCCCGTCGCCGCAGACGCCATGGGACGTTGGAGCGATGCGGTGTCTCCCGTGCGCGACGGCGAGGCAGTGAAGATATCCACATCTGAGCCATGAAAACTATGGTTATTAATATGGGTTTATACGGTTAATATCATGGGTTTATATCCATAGTTAATGGTCCATATGACAGATACAATGATATAATTAATAGGTTATTATGGTCCATAGCTATATGTTATTAATAATAATGGTTAATATAACATGGACCCATGAATATAAGCCATTAGCTAGTGTTTTTTTTTTTTTGGTGGGCTTAATATATAATAATCACTTGGAGCATCATTCCACTGAGTACGCGGTTAGTAAATGGGCTAACTTACCCGTTTATATATATATACATATATTTACACACACACATATATATATACATATAGAGAGAGAGATGGGATAACCCACTTAGGGAACTTAGTAACCAGGGTTGTTAGCCACATACTAAGTGGGATGATCCTCCAGGTAGCACACTGGGTTATACTAGCTGGTTTATGAGGGATGATCATGAGCCATGATGGAAATCCCTATCAACCAGTGTACTGGGATGGGATATGGCTATTTTTCATGGCTCATCTGGGGGGCGGATAGGGGTTACGGGGATACCATTTATTTGGATGAATATGGATGAATTGTAATGACCTCAGTGGCCTGTGATGTCACTGGAATGATGGTGCATGGATTCTGGGAGTCCTCCCAAATGGATCCAAATGGCTGCATGATACCAGCTATTTCATGTTAGTGAATGATTAGAGGGGATGGTGGATCGCTGGTGCGAACATCCATAGGTGAGGAGAACGCCCAAGGGCAGCTTGACCGGCCTCTTAAAGCAATCCGTCGCGGCCTTGGGTGTTGGGCATTGGTAGCTGTAGGGTGGCTGAACTACCTAGAAAAAATGGCTGAACTTTTGCTGATGATTGATATCCATGGGTTTAATTCGTCTATTGCTGTGTTTGATTCTGAGGGTAGTCAGCACGATTCTTCCATTGTTTCTGCGCGCGCAGAAACAGGGCGTGACAACCAGTCGCGTAGCTCCAGTCGTCATAATGTCATAGCTCGGCCGAGTGGCCTCCCCACAATTCGGCCGCTTTGAAAGGAAACTGTATCCAGGGTTGGTGATGGATTGAGTGTAATCTTGAACAATTAAGGCTAAACATTTGCAAGTCAAGTCATCCTAGTATATCTTGTCTCGCAGATGACCTGATGTCACTGCATGGTGGGAAGGCATGTGCGCCATGGTGCGCCGATCCACTAGCCATCGATAGCCACTGCTGTTTCATGACATTCCTGCGAGACTCATCCCTGATAAGGAGGAACAACAGCAGCAAGGAAAACCCATAGAGGTTTTATATATAGTAACCGGAAACAAGAAGATAGAACAGTAACTTATCACTATTCCAATCTATTCTAGTTGATTTTTGCTAGATTCTATGTTTTGGGGGTCACTATGTCACTATGCTGCGGAGAGGAAAACATCCAGTTGGCTTACGTGGACTTTGGGCTGAGGTTGCAGGCCTTGTGGGTCAGTCCCAGGACGTGCTGAAGCAGAAAGCTAGGGGCCGTGCGAAAACTGGGACATACCCCCCTTGAAATTCACGATGGAACGAGCATTGCCGAGCAGTTTTTTTAAAAAAATAATTTTTGACCATAAATCATCCCCAAACCTTGGTTCCAGGTTGGATCATGATTTTGCAGGATGCCAGTCCTACAGCTTTCCGTGCCTCGTGAGGATCCAAGCTCTCCGGGCAAGGGTAAGAGGCACCAGCGGTATACGGGGATCCCCATGGTTTCCCCCACCGAGTTGTGAATAGGGAACCAAAAAACCTCTCTGCAAGGCCTTTCTTGCGACAAACGACGATGGACAAGGATGAACTCCGAATCTTTAATGTGCTTTTTGGATGGGGATTCGCCATACGCATAAGCAACTCTACACTTTTTGACGGGCGGCTGAAGACCGCTGAGATCCTCCTTTTTCCATTTTTTCCATGGTTACAGGTGGTTAAAACCAATTCCCTGCCGGAGAAGTCATGGTGAACCCACGGCTGGCAGGCTCTCCTGGTTCGGCCTGGGGACCCGCCGGTCACCTGCACCGGAGGAAGATGCAGGTCCGATTTTTGGGGCCGCGTTTGGGGATGGGTTTGTACCCATGGTTATATGAATATATGGGTATGGATCAATACCTATTAATATCATTTTTAGGGGGATGAGCATCCATTTACCAGCTATTTTGATGTTCACCAGGGGTACAAGGTTTTGACACACTGCCATATGAGTCATGTTGGGAGAACATCCGAAATTGAACATTTCAATCATTTCAATCCCGAAAACACAGAACATAGATGAAAATAGAGACATTTTCTGGGGGATTTATGGGATATTTAAAGCCAAGTCGAGATGGCTGTGGATGGCCTTAGGCACCTCTCTGTTTATGATGTTGGAGTCCTGGATATCCCGGCGTGGATCGAAACACCGAAACACGGGCACTGTATAGATGGGAGAGATCTCCTGGTAAACTAATGTACCTATGGGAAATCACCATTTTCAATGGGTAAGTCCACTATTTCTATGGCCATTTTTCAATAGCTATGTTAAATTACCAGAGGGTAGATCTCCTGGTCGAATTTTCTTGGGATCAGGGCAGAAACATCGTTCCATCTGCGTAATCGCATCCTCGTAATAGCGGATCCCGAAACGACCAGATGAAACGGCGTGAATAAGGGTGTCTTAGAACGGTGTTTAGTACGGGGAAGGGATCACTGTAAAGATGGCCACATGATCTGTTGATCTACCAACTCGATCATCTTCATCTTTCTTGGCCACTTCTTTGCTGATTTTTGGACGTGTTCAACGGCCCCAAATGGAACTTCCGATGGGAATTTCACCTCGTTGCGAGGGCGAGCCTGGCTCCAAGATATGCTAAGACTTAGCTGCTAAGATAGGGAGAGAAGTGAGGCAATCCAATTTTCAAAATCCGATGGTTCCGTTCTTGAAAAGCTGTCTCTTCATGTTCAGGAAGATTCAGGAACTGTCAGGAACTTTGGTTTCACTTTTTTTTTTGAATACTGCAGGTTACCATCCGGTAATCAAAGATGGCAGCGGAAAATCCCCTACCAATGGAGGAGTTAATGGGAACATCATCTATAAATGGTTGATTTTCCATTGCCATATAGACATGATTTGTTTATCAGAGGGTAACTACCGTGGAGTTTTGTTAGGATGGCCGGGTTGCACGGGTCTTTTTCTAATTTTCTTTGGGCACCAACAGACCCAGGTAGCTGATCAAAAATGGACCTTTTGGGACCACATCGCTTTAGCATTTCTCCCGCTAGAAAAGCAAAACTGTTAGAAAGTTACCAACAAACCATTTATAATCATTTAGAATATATATATATACACACACATAAAACCTTTACTATACACATGATTGTATATAACTGCGTATCGTATGTGTAAAGATAGTATATTCACTACAACGATCCACAGGTGATCTGTTGGATGTTGGGGCCTTCTTCGCCAGGCCCCTCTGATGGTGACATCGAAGGCCGGCTTGGGCTCACTCTTCACCTTCGGTCCCTTCAAAAAATGGTATGTTAAATGATGTTCCTCCATCAGTCACATCTGCTCTCTCTCTCTCTCTCTCTTTCTCTCTCCCTACATAATTTTACACAATGTATGTATATATGATATATATGTGTATATCTGTGTGTGTGTCTAGACTAGACATAGTGTTCAGTGGTTGGGATCTAATGACCCATCATTGAGTAAACAACCTTGGGTAAGTGACATCGTGGGGTACTTTGTCAAAAACGCTTGAGGTTGCTGAGGTTGGCCATACATTTCGAACAATTATTAAGAATATCCCAAGATTCCAATAATCCCATCCCATCCCCCCTCAACGTTAAGCAACCTAATTACTTGAAACCCTCGGCACTGGGATCTCCGCATTTTGGGGGTCACCCAACAGGGATTTGACGCAATTGAACAATAGGGGATAATTAACCCAACATCCAATGTTTTTGGTAGCCAAATACCAGCCCAATTACTTAAGTAGAATAGCCATCCGTTATGATTGACAATGGAATCATATAGATAAGGTTCTATTTATGAATGGGATGTTTTGGGATTATAGCAACTCAACCCCTAAAAAGATCTAAAAAGTTGAAAAGTAAAGTCCTACTAAAACAATGGCAAAAAATTGTCCTGTCCTATCCTTTTTGGGGGTGCCACACAATAACCCTCAAATTGTAAGCATGTATATACCCTCCAGCAGAGCATTTCGGGTTCAACGCTGCGTAGCAGCTAGCACAGATAAATTTTCGCCGCACCACAGCAATGGCGTCAAAGGCAAAGCATCAGGCAACAGGAGACACCCCGGAACCAGCTTCGAGAAAATTGAAATTCGAGAAAGAAAAGAAAGAACATGAAGATGAATCGATGATGGATGAAGAGATCCTGTTGCGAACTATCCGGGAAATCCAAGAACAGGCATCAGCGACCAAGGTGCAGGCAGCCTTCCTGCTAGCGCAACATGCAGATGCACAGAGAGATAAAGCAAAGAAAGAAATAATCTTTGGAGGATGGACAACATTCACACCCCCTTCTCATGCCGATCTTGAACTACAAGGGCTCCTCATGGAAAATCAGACAGACTCAAGGGAGAGATACATCAAAGAAACAGCAAAGAGGGCAGGAATCACCAGCAACTACTACCGTGACTGGACTTACAGCCATCAAACCAGAGGAGACACGCTCTCCGCAATCACAATTGTCACAGTCACACAACCATGGCAAAGATCCAAGTTACTAGACTACGTGAAGAAGAGCGACGGCCTGAAAGAGAAGTTCTACCTCAAAGATGAGGAAGAAACGCAATGGGAAAAGCTCACCAAAGCCTTCGGCAACGGGCAGCAAAACGCAGGCAACACAATCAAGATTCAACCGCAGATCTCACTATGGGACCGTACTACGGGAATCCCACTCAAGGTAGCTATGAACATCGCCCAGGAACAGCAAATCCCCTTCAAGCAGAATTGGAGAGATCACACTTTGTTTGGTACACAAGGACTCCGCAGAATACATCCTATGGGCGCACTTCTCACCGGAAAAGGGCAAAGTCACAGTGTACCTCTCCCTGATGCGTTCCAGAGGTTCTTTCTCCCAAAGTTTGATGAGTACATGAATGGCAAAGGCAAAGGAAATGGCAAAGGAAAATCGATGGCACAGAGCGCCGCCAGCACCGAGAAAGACCCTTTCCACTTATCTTTGACGCACACATCCCACTCGAGTACGGCAAGGTACCCCTTCATGATCGACGTGCGCATCGTAGATGACACCGCTTCGCACTGGGAGGTTTGGAGGGAACTCTGGCAAGAAGCCGTTGCAGATGCCACCCGCCCCTACATGGCAGCAAGACCTTCTGACCGGGAGCTGTGAAGTCTCACCCCGCCGTGTCTTAGCCGTAGGCTTTTTCCCGACACCCACCCACAACATACGGTAATGCCGGGCACACAAAGTATCGCACAGAAAGAAACCACATCACAAAAGGTCAATGCCAGCAACTTAAGGTTCAGACGTGACAGTGGCTACGGCCACAAGACCTACGGGTCTCTCGAGGTAATCTCTTGGTACTCTCAATCTTTGCAACAGAAGAAAGGCAGCCAGACACAAAACAAACACAGAATTGCCAAACTAACATACAACAACTTATCGCTCCATAATCAAGCTTTGTCACAACCTCTAGAGGCGAATTTCCAATCAAATGCAGCGCACACAGGCCTCCCCATGGCAATGCGGGAAAGCCGCACTGAACGTTCTAAACGAACAGACGGCGGTAACCAACTGTCGAACCCAAAACTGCAATCAACTGATTCTACGAAGATGGGCCCCAAACGGAAATGCCGTTCTAATACTGCTTTACTTAGACGTCGAGTTAACAGAGCTAGAAACAGAAACATGCATAGGAGATCCTATCGTCATTTAAAGACACAGGCCCTTGCTTTGGCCAGGCAGGTGCCGCTGTTCAAGGCCCAAGATCCAACGGACAATCTTGAGTTTCTTGATTGGTTCAAACCGAAACCTTTTGATTCCCACACACATACTATTACACATGAAGAGTTTTCTTTAGGATTTTCTGACTATCAGGACAATAGTTTTAAGGATCATGGGATCACCGATTACAAGATTGCAAGTCTTAATTGTAGAGGTCTTGCATCACCTTCTAGCCGGGAAAGACTTGTCCACACCATGAAGAAATACCATTTAGACATTCTTTGCTTGCAAGAAACAAAAATTAATGTTAACTCCATGGAACTGCATGATGGTTTTAGTTTTTATTGGTCTAGCGGAATCAAAGACGAAGACCGCAACAAAGCGATAGATCTCAAACGCTCGGGTAAGGGGTCAAGGGACAACCCCGAACATGGACAAACCTTCAGAAATGCTATTGAACATCTTGGGGTTGGCGTTGTTCTACATCCACGTATCAGAAAATATGTTTTAGATGTTCGACAGCACAGTGCTAGAAATATCATGGTATCATTGAAAACTAGATGTGGTGTCCTGGACATCTTATCTACTTATGCGCCTCAGGCGTGCCACCGAGACTCACAAGCAGCAGAAGCGCATTACGCGGAATTAGAATCACTTGTGTCAATAAACTATGCCTTCGCTCCTAAATTAGTTCTTGGAGATTTCAATGCAAGATTGATTAAAGCCCTTCCACACGAGACTTGCGTAGGACCTTACACTTTTGGGATCGAGCGACAGGATCTTGATTTTCTTAGTGATGCCCAGCTGGAAAACCGTTTCAAATTTGTAGAGTTTTGTCTGGAAAACCAATTTGTGGTGAAAAACACATTCTTCTGCAAACCCGAAGCTGAACTTGTGACATACAGAAGTGTAGGGGTTAAGGACTGGAGCCCTCCATGGCATCCACATCAATATAGCCAAATGGATTATATTCTCGTTAATGAACCATGGAAAAATGGTATCACAGATATTTTCGCCACAGAGGTGCATGACATTGACACGGATCATAAGATGTTGATTGCCAACGTCCGTCTAAAACTGAAGAAGAAAGGCCGTGTCAAAACTACTTCACGGATTAAATTTCATAAACCTTCGGGAGATGAAATAGCCAATTATAATGCTTGTGTGGCACAAAAAGCTGATGATCTTCAATCATGTGATAATACTGACAGTTTTGATTTGCTGAACTCAATTCTTCTTGAAAGTTCGCAAGCCACGCTCCCAAGATGTCATCCAGAGCAGAAAAAGGATTACATTTCGAAAGATACATGGGACCTTCTAGAAAAACGATGGGAAGCCATTTCAAACCAAGATTCGGCCTTGGCGGAAACGCTGAGCAAGGATATAACCAAGAGAGTTCGACTTGACAAAGAGCAACACTTACTGAACGAATTAGAAGCGATTGATCAAGATGGTTATAAATGGGATGGATTGAAAAAGATGAGAGCCAAATTCACTCCTAATTTTACTAAGTTCAAAGATTCCGCTGGCAATCATGTTCCATACAGTGACTACCCGCAGAAAGCTGCAGACTACTTGGCGACAACCCAATGGAAATGCCCTTCAGCAGAAGACCCAGTTGCACCTTCAAGGATCGATAGCCCTTTGCAGGACGGCAGGTACATCGTGTCTGACGACCCTTTCACAATAGATGAGTTAGATGCTGTTCTAAAAAAGGTTAAAAATAACAAGGCTCCAGGAGTAGATGGTGTTCCAGGAGAGCTTTTTAAATGGCTTGATCAAAATAATCGGAAACTTTTCCTTAAGGTTGCTAACACTTGTCTTAGACATGAGGAGGTGAAACAACATCATATGAATGCTGTCGTTGTTAGTATTTACAAAAAGGGCGATGCTTCGTCTTTAGCTAACTACAGACCCATTTCTTTGCTAAACAGCTGTTACAAAATCATGGCGGCCTTGGTCAAGGAACGGCTAGACTCTGGGCTTGATGCATGGATCTGTTCCACACAGTATGGCTTTAGGAAACATAGAAGCACAGCCCAGGCCATCTTCCTGGCCAGGCGTCTCCAGGACATAGCAGAAAAATCCAATGCCAGATGTACACTTGTTCTATTAGACTGGGAAAAGGCTTTCGACCGAGTATCCCAAGATAAACTAATAGAAACTTTATATCGCTTGAAGGTACCCGAAAAACTCTGCAATCTGATCGGGAGTTTGTATAACGATCCCCAATTTAAAGTTTGCGTGGGAGAAGCAGAATCAACGTGGAGATCGCAGTGCTCAGGAATTCGGCAAGGATGCCCGCTTTCCCCTTATTTATTCACCTTGGTTATGGGAGCCCTTTTTGCGGATGTCATGGAAGAAATCTATACGCCCAGACAACTTGAACCGCTAGATGGTGTCTACTTCAGTAAAATTTTGTATGCTGACGATACATTGATTTTTGGAGCCAACACAGTGCATAAACACTTTCCTTCATGCCATCGAGCGCCGCTCTAAATATTTTGGCGTTAATCTTAATTATGATAAATGCGTCAATCTGACCGCCAACCAGCGACAAAGCTCTGTGCGTTTTGCACAAGAAGGACCGGCAGAGGGGGCATTTGTCCCAAGGAGGAAATCGGCAGTGTATCTAGGGACCCTTTTGACGGATTCCTTTGATAATAGAGCAGAGATTCTCAACAGAATAGGGGATTGCATTGCTACATGTCGGCGCTTAAAGCTATTTTGGGATAAAGCTAACACTTCAATCAAATGGAAAATCCAAGTGTTCACGGCTATCATAAGATCAAAACTGCTATATGGTTTAGAATGTATACAGCTGACCCAAAATGAAATCTCTAAGCTCAATGCTTTTCAAAACAAAACATTACGACGTATTCTCAAGAAACCTCCTACTTTCATAGACCGGGAACAGACCAACCTGAAGATGTATGATGAGATCAGACAGGAACATGGGTGCCATTTTGAACCTTTCGGAGACACTTGGAGAAAAAAGAAATTGAAACTTCTAGGGCACATGCTTAGAAGTAGCAGAGCTGACCCTTTGAACCAAGTCACGTTTGCAGCAGATGGACTTCGTCCCCGTTCGATAGACAAAAGGCGGCCAGGTAGACCCAGACTAGATTGGCTAACTGAAACATATAAAGACGCCTTCCAGCACATGTATGGCCACGATCAGTTTTTTGACCCTTCAGATCTTGAACGCATGAATCGAGTCAAACAATGGGCTACACAACGGATTGGCCCTTTCTAAAGGGGGCAAGTCCCAGGCCACTGGCCTCTCAAGGTACTCTCGTGGTAATTTCATAAGTGCAGGTGTGGACGGCATTGTGAATTTATTTGAGGAGTTCTTTTTATTGGAAGGGTGTGGTGTCGGTTTGTACAGTCTCAGTTTTTACAATTTGTCCGTCGGGAGCCCATATGCTCGACCGAAAAAAAATACCCTCCAGCAGTCTAACTCAGATATGGAAAGTTCATCATTTATAGATGGTTCCGCATGGGACACCCATGTGTTTAAATAGCTATCTAAACGTTTACTGGAGGGCACAAAAAATAACCTTGGTACAACAATAATATAATACTACAACCATATAGAAATGGATAACCAAACTATAAAACCACATGACAATCAAATTATAACCATATTTGTATATACACACATATAATACATTTGCTTACATTTCATTGAACACCATATGCTATTTCAACCATAAACATAACATGGCCATGATTAGTTATAATTACCATAGTTATTGACAATCATATGACATATAAATAGCTTAGTTATAACCACATAGATATATAATGACACAAAAATCATATGACAACCATAAACTGGTTAGTGGTTTGGAACATTTTTTATTTTTCCATGATATATGGGAATGTCATCATCCCAACTGACGAACTCATATTTTTCAGAGGGGTAGGTCAACCACCAACCAGATAATCATTAACCATCATTAACCATATAATAACCATTCATATTACAGTAACCATTAATATTAACCATTAATATTAACCATTAATATTACAGTAACTGTTAATATTAACCATTAATATTAACTATTAATATTAACCATTAATATTAACCATTAATATTACAGTAACTATTAATATTAACCATTACTATTAACCATTAATATTACAGTAACTGTTAATATTAACCATTAATATTAACCATTAATATTAACCATTAATATTAACCATTAATATTACAGTAACTATTAATATTAACCATTAATATTAACCATTAATATTACAGTAACTGTTAATATTAACCATTAATATTAACCATTAATATTACAGTAACTGTTAATATTAACCATTAATATTAACCATTAATATTACAGTAACTGTTAATATTAACCATTAATATTAACCATTAATATTAACCATTAATATTACCCATTAATATTAACCATTAATATTACAGTAACCATTAATATTAACCATTAATATTACAGTAACTGTTAATATTAACCATTAATATTAACCATTAATATTAACCATTATACCATATTAACAGTATATTACCAACCAATGGTAGCTTGGTCAACCACCAACCAGTAAAACAATGGTGTTTCCCCTCGCTGCAGGTGGTGCCCGTGGTTCCCGCGGCCGCGGATCCGAGAGCAGCACAACAGCTGCCGGCGCGCCGGCCATGCCAGGCTCGACGGCCGAGGACTGCGGACCAGGGATGCTGGTGGCCCATTGTTATTTAACTATTACCATCTGGTTATTTAACCCATAGGAAAATGGAGGTTTTAATGGGAAAACCATAGGAAAACCATAGGAAAACCATAGGTTTTATGGTGATTTAATGGGATTTAATGGGATTTAATGGGATTTACCGTCTGGTTATGACTAACAGTTTGCCATGGAAAATCACCATTTTTAATAGGTAAACCATCTATAAATGGGCCATCTATACCATGGCTATGTTAAATAACCAGAGGGTATATATATAATATATATATATATAATGTTATATATATATGTGGTTTTCTTTACCCAAAGATGACATATATGATGTTATGGTTATATATATATATACATATGGTTTTTACCCTATAAGGTATTATAAACCATAGTTATAGCCAGTTATATAGGTATTCTAAACCATAGTTAGGTGTTTCAATACCATAGTTATTTAAAGGAAGTTTAGTTCGAAAACTTTCGAGTTAACGATTGTCATGATGAGCATTTCCACCATGTCAACCACATCATCATCAAGTAGTTTGGAAGTGTAACAGTTCGGAAGCGTGTAAATTGACGGGCGGCAGCACTCTCGGGCGCGAAACCCTGTGTTATTTTCGGGTAATGCGGCGCCATGGGTCGCCAAAGTAGGGTTTCTGTTTCCGCGGTTTCGTGCCTCGATCTGCGAAAGCTGTCAGCAAAATGTACACCAGACTGTAGCGAGAGCTCGATTTGCATTTCAGAATGTTAAACAACTGTCACGATCGGAGCGCTTTTTGGAATGTGCACGAGACTGTAGCGAGTTCGATTTCACGAAAAAATCAAAACAAACTGAGGTGCGCAGACTAGCGCCGGATTTGTGTGGTGGAGTCCCCATTGTCAGTGCTGTGCGAAGGTTGGTCGATTTGCTCCTGGCAAGTGGGTTTACAATTGGCTGTGACGCAACGCATTGTGACGCAACGCATTGGCAGATTGCTTTGTCTATTTTTTGGGGGTTGCTGCAAGTAATAATTGTGATTAATTGTCATTTATTGCCATGACGATGTTGTTGATGTTTCCATCACTGTTGTTTAACTGTTTCTTTGTTTGTTTGCCTGGTTGGTTTGTTGGTGGCTCGGTCGACCTGTAAACGCGCACTTTCTCATGCGCTTTTCCCATAGGCACAGCGTGTTTTTGTGCATTTTTTACCACGTATATCATGGTTTCGTGGGGTGGGGTGGGGTGGGGTGGGATGATAACGTTCATGTTACGCGTGATGCACAACGCACTGCGATGTTGATGTAATGTTCGTGCACGCTGACATCGTTACGCAGTGCTACGTTGATGGATGGGGTGGGGTGGGGTGGGATGATAACGTTCATGTTACGCGTGATGCACAACGCAATGCGTTTCAAATTGAGAAAGACAACGCTTGGCTCCCATGAAAAAAAGGAGTGGACACGCCTCCCAAAACCAACACCACGAAACCCTCATATACGTGGTAAAAAATGCACAGACACACGCTGTGCCTATGGGAAAAGCGCTTAATGAAGCGCGCGTTTACAGGACGACCGACCGTTGTTGGTTGGTTGTTGTTGGTTGGTTGTTGGTTGGTTGTTGTTGGTTGGTTGTTGTTGGTTGGTTGTTGTTGGTTGGTTGTTGTTGGTTGGTTGGTTGGTTGGGTTGGTTGGTTGGGTGGGTGGGTGGGTTGGTTGGTTGGTTGGTTGGCTGTTTGGTTGGTTGGTTCGGTTGGTCGCCATGTGTCTGAATTACGCTGCCACTCCAATGGCCCCTTTACCCGCAACTTAACCCTATCTCCAGATAATCTGATTCCAGGGTAAACTCCCATGCCACTCGCACGAGTGGAACACTTAGAATGCCAAGAGGATTGGACGTGAGCGAATCCCAAGAGACTCTGGTTTGGTAGTGATTTTTCTACCGTTTTGGAAGGATGGGATGAGATGGCTACATGGAACCATGTTGAAACTCTGATCCCATCTGTGCAATGAGATGTAACCAAGCTCTGGACACACACACACACATATATATATACTTGCATCCACTTAGCGGCATTACGGTATTACAAAAAAAATTGCCCTTACACGAGAAAGTTACTTACACGAGAAAGTTACTGAAACGAGAAATAAAAATAAAAAAGTGGAGTAGACAGCTTCTTTTAAGAAAGTGTTTGTAAAAGGAATGAAGGAGAAGGAAGCATATAAACCAAAAGGAGTGCTAATGTCTCCATGGGTGAAATATCAGATTGCGTGTGCTCAAATTTTAATGCATGTGTGTGCCGGCAGTGACAATGTCATGTCTTCCAACAACAAGAAAATAGCTTCAATCATCGGTCCACGCATTTTTTCTCTTGGGCAAACGAGGATTCCAAATATCTACAGCAAGTTTGGTTTGTGCAAGCCACAAACAGGTGAATTAAAGATGGGTTCCCATAGATTTTGAAATCATATGAATTAGACTCGAATAGGCTGAAGCAGCCATGTGCTGAAGCAGCCATAGCTTGGCCGAAGCAGCCATAGCTTGGCCGAAGCAGCCATAGCTTGGCCGATGCAGTCAAAATGCTACTTCTCATCACTTTGTTTTTTCTTTTTCATTCATCCACTTAACCCCTTTTCTTCTCACAATTTCGATCCGCATAGTGGAAGCAAGCTTGCTTTCCGATGGCCATGTGCTGGTTTGAAGCAGCCTGTACTTCTGGTACAGCTTTTCCACATGGAACCTTTTGAGAAGATCCCTTTGGATGACTTTGGCATCAGGCTTAGTGACTACACTGGGGTTGCCACGTCATCGTGGAAGTTCGGGCGGCGGCATCATCATCAGCATGGAAACGGTCATATGTAGTTTAAGCCTAGAGCCTAAATGTGCGAGAAACCGCAAATGATTATGTTTCAGAACATGTACAGCAAACATGAGACAAACCGACTGACAACAGGACATCCCCCTAAGAGAGTCGACACTTTTACCTTTCAACCTGTCATGTTTGTGGGAAATTAAAAGCAGCTTTTTTTTCGATCCCGCATGGAAGGCACAATCAAAACTGCCTATAGGTCCGAAGTGCCTATGTCGCAGCCACATCGTCGCCTATGGCCGAGGCAGCCACACGGCCGATGCAACCGTGGTATGGCCGATGCAGCCACGTCGTCTCGTCTATGGCCGAGGCAGCCACATCACTTGTCTCCATTGTCCTCTTCGTCGTCATCGTCGTCGTCTCCCAAAGGATTCCAGACGTCGTCTTCTTCATCTTCGTCGTTTTCCTCTTCGCCTTCCTCCTGCTCATCCTTTGTTTGCTTGGCTTTGGCTTTTGCCTTAGCCTTTGGTTTGGCCTTTCCCTTGCCTTTGGCCTTTGCCTTTACCTTTGCCTTTGGTTTTGCGGTCTGATTCACAGGTGCCTGCCCACTGCCACCGACGGCTTCACTGTAAGCTGACGAAAACAAGCTGGACTCAGGGTTTGTCATTTCTTTTTCAAGCAATGCAAGCAGCCGGTGGTGCTCTGGGTTGAAGGCAACTCCTACATACCCTATACCCGATTTCGCAAGGCTGCCCAAGCCATGCGGCCGTCCAGAGGTGTCAGATCGATAATGATCTTCGCGAAAAGTCGTGGATCGACTCGTCGCAGAGCTCATAGGACTGTGGTAGCAAACTGGCTCCAAGACCGAACCAGTCTGTGAGGTTATATTCCAGGCCGAAACAGCCTGTGATTGCAGGCCGAGGCAGCCTGGAACGTTTCACGGTTTAAGCCGAAACAGCTTTTACACACGGAAAAGCTTGTGAGCCGAAAACAACGAGAAACGACTTGAGTGAGGCTTCTAAGGAGGGGACTAACAGTTCTCTCCTTAGACTGACAGCAGCGAAGTGTGTAAGGAGAGGGCTGTGAGAGGACTATTCGAAAAAGGTTGTTTTGCCCTAAGGAATTTTATTCAATAGTCCTCTCACAGCCCTCTTCTTACACAGCTCACTGACGAAGGCCCAAGGCAGCCAGGGTGGCCGAAACAGCCAAGCTCAGGCAACATGACGACCTGTGACGACCTCTCCTTACACAGCAGGTTTTTGGTTAAACATGCTGTGTAAGGAGAGGTCATTTCGTCCTCTCCTTACACAGGTAGGGGACGTCCCCGATGCTCGGTTGGAGAGGACAAACAGAGGACAACAGCTTGTAAAACCGAAACACTTAGTAGTATTACACATTCGTCCTCTATTCGTCCTCTCCTTACACAGCTAGGGGACGTCCCCGACCTTCGGTTGGAGAGGGCAAATCGCCCTCTCCATAGGATAGGGTTTTTGCTTATATCCCTTAGGAGGTTAGGGGACGTCCCCGAATTAGAGTCTTAGGAGGTTAAGGGATGTCCCCGAATTACCCCTTAGGAGGTTAGGGGACGTCCCCGAATTAGAGTCTTAGGAGGTTAAGGGATGTCCCCGAATTACCCCTTAGGAGGTTAGGGGACGTCCCCGAATTAGAGTCTTAGGAGGTTAGGGGATGTCCCCGAATTACCCCTTAGGAGGTTAGGGGACGTCCCCGAATTAGAGTCTTAGGAGGTTAGGGGATGTCCCCGAATTAGGGTCTTATAGTCTTAAGAGGTGACATCCCTGTAATTCTTAAGATGATTTTTAAACATATGTCAAAATCCCTTATGACATAAAAAAGAAAATATCCCCCTTACCAGGTTAAAGGACATTTGAATAGTAAACAGTAAACATGTTACATATTTTCCCCTTTTTGGATTCAAATACTCTTTGGTGGTTTCAAAGTCTCTTCCACAACCTGGTCCCAAGAAGGCCACAGCAGCCACTATTTTCTAAGAGACAGTCTGTCTTCTCGAAACCCTTGCTGGCCGAAACAGCCAGGCGATTTGGCCGAAGCAGCCAAGCTTCTGTGGCTGAAGCCTGAAGCAACCACTTTTTTCAAAAAAAAGTTTCGGGCAGGCCGAAGCAGCCTGGCAACGAGCAGGCCGAAGCAGCCTGACTACGCCCTTAATCTCAAGCCTCGGCCGCAGCAGCTTGGGTGAGTTGAAATACCCAGGTGGCTCCTGAGCAGTGTCCAACCCTCAATCGATTGTCCACTTCTGACCTCAAGTTTGGCAGCATTGGCTGATTGTCTTCTGTATTCAAACTCAAGTGTGCTGACCTTAATATTTCACAGCTTGCCATTTCATCTGCTGCTGCATCAGCAGCGAGTGCCACAACTCTTGACCGCAGGTGTTTAAAAAGATTTTTCTTCAAACGCCCAGGATTCTGACTAAGAGGAGCCATATAAAATCTAGAGCAAGCACACGCTTCATGACTGCCCATGTGGCTAAGGAGACATTGGCAGCTCCTGTTCCAGCTTGCCTTGCTTGGCCTAAAAAGCCACTTCGAGTTGTCAAGTCTGGGGCCACAGCCATGAATCGTATGGCCAACCGCCCATGCCGCTCATCCCGCATCAAAGAAATGTGAGAAGATTTCGCAATGAACGTTTGGTCCAAAGCTTTTAACCCCTCTGCCAAACACCATGCCATTTGCAGCTCTTTTTGCGTCAATGATCTTTTCTCGCCAAAGCACTCCATCAGCTCTTGAAACTGACTCAATGCCAGGGCTGCATCGGGACTAGGACCAACACAGCCCCCTTCCTTCAACCATTCCTTCACCGCTGCCTTGTGCGCCTTGCTTTTATGGTGCTTCATCAAATTGCAGTTCTGCAGTTGGCCCTTCTTGGTCATTGAATAAGAAGCGAAAGGATTGGAAACCCCAGTTTCCTGGCACACTTTACAACCAACACCCCAAGGTTGCTGCTTCACATCCAACCATGACCCTAGCTCTGGCTGGCCATCTGAGACGAGGAACATGTTACACCATTTTTTGCCCGAACTACGCCATCTGAATTTGGCCCCGGTTTCCAAGCTTGACATTGCTACCGTGGCCGAAGCAGCCACTAAAATGGCCGAGCCAAGCCAGTACCGCGGCCGAAACAGCCACAATGGAGCGGCGCATCTTAACCATTGAGCCAAAAGAAAACGAGAAAAGAAAATAGTCATGACACTTGTTAAAATATCTAGCCGGGCGTCTATACGAGAAATTTCCTTCTGCGGACGTCGCCAGGCAGAGAACAGAAAAGCTGTCCCACAATAAGTGTGTCAGAAGAAAAATGTGTCATATACCACAACTAAGGAAAATTGAGCTGAGAATTCTAGTAGAACGCATGTGGCATGGTTTTAAAAGTCATGAAGGTTTTTGTAACAAAGTCTGAAAATACAAAGCGACGAGTTCTGAAAATAGCTTAATTTTGAAAAACCAAAACGAGAAAATATCTCCAAAGCCCCAATTTTTTTGTAATACCGTAATACGCTTAAGTGGATGCAAGTATATACATATGTGTATATATATATACATATGTGTATATATATATAGATATCATTTTGCACCTATATCTATATCTATATTTATATCTATCTACCTACCTTCTGTATATATATATTTAATATACATGTATAGAAACTCCTTTTTTCAAGGTGTTGCCGACCACCAATTCCTACAAGACTTGAGGAGTTTGCTGTGGCCAGCCAGTTGCTTGAAGGCGCGGGTGTTCGAACTGATGGTTATCTGACCGGTAAACGAGCATGAAAAATAACGCACACATTATATGCAGACATGACTATCGCATTTGTATTTGCCACATTGTTCAAGTGTAATAGTATGTCGGTAAACATGGATCTTAATACATATGTGTGAAAGCCCTGTATGGTATGTGTATACTGTATATGCAAGCATGTTGATGTACACCTTTGTATGTATATATATATATATATCTATATACATATACGTGTATATCTCGAGAGATATAATGCATGTATGCGCATGGGTGAGTGTTCCCCTGGCAACACACAGAGGTATACCCTCGGACAATCAAACATGACACTGAACATTTCCCCATTCATAGATGATTTTCCCATAAACATATATTTTTCCAATTGCCATGCTTGATTACCGGAACGTGTACAAATCACAAAGTATACACTGTATATGTGAAGTATTGTGAAGTCTATTTTTGATTATATATTTAGTTGTTTTAGATATGTTTTTTTTAAAGAATATATGTCTATACGCACATATAACATAAATAACACCAAGCTTGGGTTGCAAACCAAACTGGTTGGAGTTACCATGTGATCCGCGGGCCAAGGCTTGTACGGCAAGCGGCTTGAAGCCAGCAAGGCAGCTGGCTGTGGGGGTCCTGCTTTCGCAGGAGAGGAACATTTGAAGATTTGATAGTTGATGTTGGTTGATGTAGATTGCTATAAGGCTATATTTCATATTATTGCTTTGTAATTATTTGTATACCATCTATATATATATATATATACATACACACACATACATATATATATATATACACACCGACCTCTACCTTAAGAAATTAATCCAGGTAGACCGTTGGTTATCCAATTATTTTTTTGCAATTAATTTTGAATTGGGTGTTTTTTTTCGAGAACTCTATTTTCCGAGGATTAATTTAAGTTAGGTGTGCCCAAAATAATTTAGTCTGAATGCTTGAGAATGAGAGTGGGGCCACCTCGAATTAATTTGGCAATGTTTCGTCAAACTAATTCAAACCATGGGGTCCCAAACCAGCACACCCACCCTCAAATTAACTTTACGCGTGGCCACGCGCGCTTGGAAAAAAAATGTTGGCGCAAAAAGAAATAGATTGGGTGTTTATTTATTCGTCAGGTTTTTTAACGGGTTTTCAATTCTCATTGCACGCAATCAATATAATTCTGTTCCAAACGCATCTTCTTGCTTGTAAATGCCACCCACCCCCACCTTGCCTGGAAACCACAGAGCCGCGAAAGAGTGAAAATACAAACTTTGCTTCCGGGAGGGAGCCTGCGGCGGATGAGTCTATGAGTCTATGAGTCTATCTATCTATCTATCTGTCTATCTATCTATCTTTCTATCTTTCTATCTGTGTAATTTTCTGTGTAATACCTAAATTCACCATTCCATCATTTCAGATTAAACTGATTGAACCATTCTTTTGAATCATTTCAGATATGAACTGCCTATGTCAGAGGTATCTGGCCGCTATTCCAAGCATCGGTAGACCACCTGTTCCAGGCCATGGAAATTCTGAGCACGGTACCGGAGCCCGGGGGCTCAGCACGGCCGTTCAAGGCTGATTGGTTGTTGGTGGTTCCATTCATATTTGTTGATTTTCCATCAATAAAATCGGGTGAGGATCTTATTTGATTAACCAACATTTTTCTCGAATGGGTTGAACCTCTTGTAGAAATAAACGTGTTTCCTTCCCGGGCCCGGTGTCACCAAGAAGTCTCTGGTCATTTCCCTGGGATGATTGGAAGGGTTGAATGGGTCAAACACATAGCCACACACACACACACATATATATATATATAGATACCGCCATAGATATAGACAAGATATAGAAACAGAGAGATATAGCTATAGATATAGATATAGACATAGAGGGAGTTCCCAAGTGCGGCAGAAAATGGCTGTTTGAGGAGGGGTCTGAGAACAAACACCTATAACCTATAGGACCTACCTAGGACCTACCTAGGACCTACTGTAGGAAATTGATTTGTCCTGATCTGGGCCTAAACTGACGGCTTCAGCTATTGCAATCTCTTGGTTTCTTGGGTTAGTGAAAGCAGAATGTTCTTCCGTTGTTAGTGAAAAAAACGCCCCTGGGAATGCGAAACAAATTCTGCCCCGGAATTGCCTTCCTTGTATTTTCAGGTCTTGAGCCTTTGTTGTAAGTTCCAAGGGGGTGTTGTTTCTCGTTGCACTAACATTGGGATTTCATCCTGCTCAGCTTGCCACGGGAGGATCAGCTGGTTAGTGGAGTGCTACTGCATGACACCAGCACAGCCGGGCTGGCGCAAGAGCTGCTGGGCGCAGCGGCGCAGCTGTGGGAAGTGGCGATGGCCTGGGGATGGGTTATTATTCGGTCACATTGAAGTGGAATGAGGCACAAAAATGACAGTCTGACCCTATTTCAGCCATTTCAAGGTTGGTGAGTTTTTGGGATTCCTCATCAACTTCCGCTTTCGTGAAGTTGACAGACATGAGTGTTTAAAACACCAACATTGCTATACATTGCTAAGAAACAGGGGTATTACCAGAGGAAATGATGCGATGAAATCCACATCGCCATGTTTTTTTTTTTCTTTTTCGGTGGCCTAAGGGTTGTGTGGCTGGGCGACTGGGATTCATAGGTAACCTTGCCAATGTTAACGGACGAAGCATGGTTTGTTGAAGGTTTGCATTGGGGTTTGCCTGGTTGACAATGTGCCCCTCGCTGAGATGCACAGAACCAAAAGAAGTGCCGTAAGTAGAAGTGATTTGATATTGACCTGGTTTTAAGAATGCCGTGTGGGGGTTACAAACAAATATAGGTTTGTCTGAAAGTAGGATAAGTATCGGCCGCCTCCAAATTTGATCGATGATGATCATTTTTGATCACACCCTCTGGATCCTTCTGGTAATTTAACGTAGCTGTGGAACACCACAATTCTTAATACTTAGATAAACATAAATCATCAAACTAAATTTTGCCATGGCTTCCATAGCCATGTTAAACAACCAGAGGGTATAGAACGGCCCGATGTTTCATGGTAGTTTCACGGTGAAGCACCCCAAGTCTTATGACTTTTGGTGAGTTTTGACCCTTGATCCCTTTCTGACCGATTGGCCTGTCCAAAAAACAGGATCTCCAGTGATATCCGCACCAAAAACTGGAATTTCATCCATGGATTTGATGGAAAAACATAGAATATCTCTAAACCGAGTGATTTATCATGATTTATCACCATCTTGACAATAAAGTGAGGGTATACCATGGTATGCTGACAGTTTTCAGAGAACCCCAAATCATATCAAATCAGTGAGATATTTTAAAAAAATACAATTATTTTTGGCTGGCTAATCTCCATGAATCATATCCCTATCATATTCCAATATTTTTCAACCCCAACTAAGCTCCGGAATGTACCTATACCATTAGAGTCCCATTATGTTCCTATCATACCATGATATTCCCACCATCTTCCCATGATCTTCCCCCTTTCCCATCAGATTTGTTATCCCATTAGAGCCCACAAATTCGTCCATTTTCGTCTCCGATGCCAGAGAGTTGCCGTCCTAGGCAAAACAGCTCCAGGGGATGTCCCACTCTATGCGGATGAAGCCAGTGGCAAAGTCTATGAGGCAATGCCCTGCATTAGGCGCACCGCTGCGTGCCGTTTTTTGGCGATTTTTGAGGGGATCTTCGGAGCAAATGGGGGATCTAACCATGAAAACAAGACATGGTTTTGGGAAAACAATTGGGGATTTCTTGGAACATGGGGATTTCACCAAGATAGATAAATTTGGTGATTTTTGCCATCAAATATGTGGATTTCAGCCACTCCAAATGATGATATCAAATGGGGATGTCCCAAAATGGAGACCCCGCAGGCATTACATGCGCATGGCGGAGCTGTCCCTGACGGCCCGGAATCTGCCGGAGGTGCCTTAACTGGGTCAGAAAGGGGTAGTTCACCCGGAAAAAATGGGGGGATTCAACATGATCTAACAGGAAAACATGGGATTTACCGAGGAAAATGGGGGGGATTTAGCCGCTGGTAGTTTAACATGGGGACAATTACCATTGTTAGTAAAGAATTTGGATGGACAAAAAAGTCTTGAATCTTTCCATTTGAATGCTGAAATGTCATGAAATAGCAAGTTTGTCCAGCTTTCGAAAAATGAATGTTGGTTGTTACAAGTTGACCAGTATGGACATGGGTCAAATTTTTAAGAACTAGGGGACGATTGTGCTTATATAATCTTATATAATAATCATTTTTGGTACTACACATGCAATGTTGGGGTGCCAAGCTTGGCCCCATATCCAGGATCTTATCACCCTGAGTTGTTGTTTTTGTTTTTTCTTGGGACCCCTGATAAAAAAAAAAACTTAGCACTTTAACAAAATCCATGACAGTACGATCTAGCTGTGAGCCACTTGATTGTTCTCATGATTCTAGATGATAGCAGTCATCCTTTTCCAAGAAGTAATCTGGAAGTAAGCCTTTCCCATTATATATATATAATACTATATAATACCCCCAAGAAACCTTGGTTTAGTATTGGATCTATATGGATCTATGCCATTTGAGGATCCACATGGTATATTATCACCATTTCAGGGCGGTTATATTACCCATGTTGAACCACAACCGCCGCGCCACAGAAAGCGGATGCCGCCGCTGCGCAGCTCCATCATTATGTGCGCCAGCTGGTTGGGGACAAATGGAGGCTTCCTAAGTCATAGGGCTACAAAATGGTCATCCAAAATCTAGAGATTTTCCATGAAATAAACCAAGCATTTTAAGGATCCCCCATGTATTAGGAACCTTTTTCCTTCTGCTTCTCCCATTGCATCGGCAGGTACAGTCGTTGCATAAGGAAGTGAAAACTGCCGAGGTCATGACGCTGTCGGATGGGAACCCCCCATGGCCTGTTTGGTAATGTTAGTTTTCGGCATCACAAACCACATTTCTTATGATTTGCGCCAAAAAAGTGCAACCCGGGCAATGGTAATTTTGGGGATGGATTACTGTTGGCTTCCATTGGCTTCCATTCTTTTTATGGTTAGCCACTGTGCTTCTGGTGGCTTCTCAAGGCAAACCCCCGGGTACACCAGCTTGGTGTTCACCACTTCTAGCGGAGTATGCGAACGGGGAATTGGTCAAATGTCTCGAAATTAGCTAGCCTCTCATTTTTTCAGAGTTATCACTCATTTTCAACGCTAAACGATTATCTAGACAAACATGAAGCCAAGAAACTATCTCCAGATGGTCAGCACTTGCAACTATTTGCAGTACCATCTGGAGATCAGTGTTGTTAGTTTTGAAGAGACCACCAACATAGTTGGACACATTTCTAACTATTTGCAGTTTTTAAAAGTCTACCCCATTTTGATCCATGGACGCTGGAATGTTGCCTCGCCAAAGGCTGCCTGGACTGGTCCACATGAGGATTCCGAGAGCCAAGGTGCGCTAAACGTTTGGAAAGCTGTCCCTAACATGAAAACATATGAAAACCACAGTTTTGGTGCTGAGATCCGGAACAATAGTGGTATGATGAGGCATTTTTTGGGACATGATGTGAGATCTGATGGAGATATTAGTGGAATATTAGTGGGATATATCATGATATATCTGGAGAAGTGATAACGACCGATATATCTGGACGAAACCACAAGACATGATGCTTAGGATATCTTAGGATTAGGGGGGATCATCCCCAGCCTACGCAACCAGCTGACCTGACCTCTCCATCATCCAGTTTGGTGATGTTCAAAATCCATAAGGCAGGACATGTACCAACCCCTGTATACTGTATGGGTAACAAAAAAACACTGTATATGTCTATCCACCTACATATTATATCCAGATAGACAAATATGATCAAATATGCATATATACTAAACATGTAAAACCATTGGGACACCAACATATTTCGAATACACTGCGATTTTGGGGTGAACCCCAACCCGCGGCTGTTTGGCTCCCAGCCGGCACACGAACGGCCATCCCTGAATTGATGGGAAAATTATGGGAAAAGATGGGAACATGCAAAATTGTGATGAGAGATGGGAAAATCAGCCTTCACTTGCTGAACGCTGGAAGCCCCACAACGGTGTATATGTATGTATGTATATATATATACCGTATAGGTTTTGAGAACATCACGTAAGAGGCCCAGCAGATCCCAGTCAAACCACCCAGTCCAGATACTTCAAAAGGATACTGCCGGCCGGACGGGACGTGCGCCGAAGCGCTCCCATTCGATTCGATTCGCAGATCGGGCGAAAGGGGCGATGCGCAGAGATGAAAGGACGCAGCATGGGAGATCTGGGATGATACCCTCTGGTTATTTGTTACATAGCCATGGTATAAATAGCCCATAGAAATAGATGGTTTACCGTTCTTAAACATGGTGATTTACCATGGCAAACTGTTAGTCATAACCACATGATACCTGTTCATTTATGGCTGAATCCCATTCATGATGCTGCCATTGCCCCATGAGTATCCCCATGTAACTCGGCGCAGAACGGATATCAACTGCGAATTGGGTACACTTCGAATGCTACACTTCGAATGGTTTGAAGCGATTCATTCTTCGGAACTCTAACAGATGAATGGGGAACTCCAGATGATAATCACTGACCATATCCCATAACTGACCATAACTGACCATAACCATAAGGTATAAATCATCATAGCAATGGTTTGAATTCCTATAGCAACTTTCGATCATTTTGGATCCGGTCATGGGGATGGTCAGCTGAAAGATCCACCCGTGGAATCAAAAAAGGTGATCTGTTTTTCCTTTTTTTGAGGGAGACAGTATACAACTGCAGATGTACACACACACATACAGAGATAATGTATAACATATAATAATAATAATAGTAATAATATTAATAAT